CGCAGGCAGAGTACGTGGCGATGGCGGACATGGGGAAGGAGATTCTTTTTTTGAGGCAGGTTTGGCGCTTTATGTTGCCGAAGGAGTTGCGGCCGTGCATTCCACTGTACGAGGATAACGAGGGTGCTATCCAGATCGCAAAACACCCGATCTCGAATTCCAACTCGAAGCACATCGACGTGCGGCATCACTTCCTCAGACAACTGGTAGATGAGAAGGAGGTAGAGATCATTCATGTAGCGTCGCAGTACCAGCATGCTGACTTCCTCACGAAGGCGCTACCTGAGAGGGATTTTGTGTTCCACAGGGACTACGTGATGAACTTAAATTGAGCAGTCCCGGAGTTTTTTTTGTGTTGTGTTTTTGTTTGTGTGATTCTTTCGATTTGAGTATATGAGGAGTTGATTTTCTACGAGTTTGAATTCAAGAATGGCCAATTGACATTATATTTGGTATTTCTGTTTTAATGGTTGGTTGGGAATACTTTCTATCCGATTGAAATTCTAAATGAGCAGTCCTGGAGTCTTTATTTTTGTTTTGTTTTTTTGCGTTTGTGCGATTCTATTGAATTGCTATTTCTGAGGATTTTCTACGATGTTGAATTCCAGGGTGACCGATGGATAATCTCTGCAGTGTTTCTGGTTTAATGGTTAGGAGAAGAGTTTCAAACCGGTTGGAGTTCTAACGAGTTTTGTTTCGGGTATAATGGTCATGGTGTTTTGGCGAAGACGAAGCATGAGATGGATGGAATGTTAATCACTAAGCCTTGCGTTCAGGTATTTGGTATAAGAGGGTATGCATGTGTAAGGTAGTTAAATGAGTCCGGGTGTAATCTCTGTCTGCAGATGCAGCGTATGTAGTGGGGGCTGTTGGATGTACTCACAGCATCAACAGATTATTGCGAGCAAGAATTTCCCGAGCAGATGGAGCGGGGAGTTTGGGGGTTCAATGGTTGCTATGGATTAGATTTGGTGGTACCAACTTTATCACATATTGCAGGTTTGAGGGTATGGGTGTCTACAACGGAATTTGTGTGCGTGGCTTGTGGTTCCTCACTTCCTTTTTCTGTGTATAATCAAGTCCTTTTTCCGGCTCTCACGCCAACCCCGGCTTCCACGCCCATACTCCGGCTATCACGCCAACCCGGCTTCCACGCCTTCAGGACTCCCACGTCCCTACATATACCTTTACATCAGGGCCACCACGCCACCCGGCTTCCACGCCACAACTATATTATACACGAGCTTCCACGCTCCACCACGTAGAAGGGCTTTCACGCCCGCGGATAGTTTCTACATTTTGACCGTTGGCAGTACCCAGCTGCTGGCACCTTTTGTTTCCCACTACGGGACCCCGCGCCGAGGCACCCACGCACAAAGCTACTCAACATCTACCTCCAAATACCGCAACAGTTCCTCGGTAACACCGACCGATGCTTGGCCTACGTCAAAGTTAATGTTTTTTCATTGGAATCGCTCAAATTGAGCGCCTTCTGTATAGCATGTCCAATACCTTGCTGGTCAAATCTCGAAGCGAACGCATTCATTCCCCGGGGCCTCACAGGCCAGCATGTGGTTTCACTTGGATTTAGATTTCATCCAAGCTTTTTTGGTGTCTTTTATTGTGTGTATTTATCTTGATCATTTTCTTTTTCGTTTCTTGCTTAAATTATTCTGCCCTTTTCCTTGTATTGTCCTTTTTTCCTTTTTTCCCGGATGGCCTTCTCTTTTTCTCTGTTAAGTACCAAGATTAACCCCTTTAGGGCTGGATCGCCTTTTGGGGACACTTTTTGTCCCCATCTTCTTCACCTGCATTACCTCGCGAAGATTGGCATGATTGTCTCCTCCTTTGCACCACTCGACCAGGGGGGTGCCAGGGTACACAGGGACGACTCTAGTCTAGTATGGATGGATGCTTTGTAGAGTGGAGGAGTAGTCTATGAAGGTAATGAACAGGTCGAATCGCGGGGCGATTACGCCGCCGGTTCAACAGCGAAGTTGCGCCGCGTCTGTTTACCCTTGGGTGGAAAGCGCTACTAGGGGCAAGCGCGGAAGAAGTACCTAGACCACCGTTGATAGGAGGCACCGAGCAACCTAGGGCTTGAGTTAGAAGGTCTCCCTTTCCCTCTAGAGAAATATCTTGAAAACCTCCTTTTCGTGCCCCGTTTACCACGCTCCCGCCAGTTGCTCTCTATAATCCCTATCAATTGTTGTCCCCTCGTGTCCCCTCGTATCGAGGGGACAATTGATAGGGATTATAGACAAGATACGGCTCAAGTTGGAAGGCAGCTTTGCACTTGCACCCAGGGATGGAACTGTCTGCACCATCCAATCAGCAGGCGTCGTTCGCTCTTTTTCTTACATTTCAGAAATTCGCAAGACCGCCGAATTTTCTGTGCGTGGTAAAACAAGGGATGTACCTCTCTCTCTCTCTGGGGCGTGATGTTGGCTTCCAGTATGATTTCTGCCCCACATAGCGTGTAGGGAAGCGGAGGGCTCCAGACTGTCTGTTGTTGACTTTCATTTGGCATGCGGATCCTTCGGGTCCTTTTTATTGGAGTATATATATATATGGTAAGTTGACCAGTGACTGACCCACATGGGATACCGGGCGGGCAGGAGAGCGACTGGGTGTCTCGTCTAGGAGAGGATCTCGTGGCGTTCAACATGGGAGACGAAAAGGAAAGGGGGAAATGGAAAGAGAGCGCCAAGGACCCGGAGGCGTGGTACTCTTTTCTATGATAGAGATGGTTTCGTTGTCTAAAAAAAAACAAGGTCGAGGACGGGGCGGCATGGTTCATGAGGAAATGGCACAGGCAGGAGACGGAAGCGTCCGCGAAGCGCCAGCGCGCGAGGAAAGTAGAAGCAGGGAGTACGGCCATCTCGGGACCGAAGAGAAAGAGAGTCGGGGAAGCGGCGGTGGGGGGGAAGAAACGGCGACCGGGCGCTGCTGCTGTAGAAGCGACTAGGGCGGCCGAGGCAGCACTTGTGGCGAAATTTGTACCCGGCTGATGTTGTTGCGCCCTGTTCCCCTCCCTGCTGTATGCTATCCTCCTTTATGTCCTTTGCATTGCCTTCGGCCTCTCTGTGCTGTGCTTCGTTTTTTATGCCCTCCCTGCCTACTCTGCCTCGTTGGGTACCTTTAAATCTCCCTTTTTCTGTTGCTGTTACTTCTGCTTTTGTATATATATATATATGGCTGTCTGCCCATCTGCCGCCTCTCTCTTTGCTCTGTTGCCTTCCATCACTCCCATGCCCTCTGGTGCGTAGTGCCTGATGCTGGTACGGTACCCTTTGATTGTATTAGGCGGGTGTGGGAAGCGTTCTCCTTTTTCCCTTTTGTTTTCGCCTTTATTTTTGTGTTGTTTTGTTTTGATCGGTTTCCTAGGCTCCTTTTCTCGACCGGTCGGTGCGGTAGCTGTTCTTTTCTTTCTGTCATTTTGTTTTCCTTCTCCGAGTGGTTTGTACTCTGTTTAGATTTTTGTTTTGTTTCCCCGCGGCGTCGTATGTGCCGAGGTTTGCGACCACGGGCTCCCCACTTTTGTGGACAATAGAGCTAATGTGAGAAACAACAACAACAACAACAAACAAAGAGAAATCGACCGGTAACTAACAACGTGTTTGATCAGTAGTAGTGCGGACAGCTGAAAGATTAAGGCTGGGTATGTAGGGAGATCGGAATGATTACATATTTTATTTTTTATCTATTTTTTTATTTTTTATTTTTGTCTTCACTTCTTCAAATCAGCGCTCACAGCTCACAGCACTAAGTTAGTGCCGTTTACTCCAACCCGTGGTCACACAGAAGAGCCCCTCTCTATACCCTCCCCTCCTGCGGTACTTTGCCTTCGATTTTTAATGCGAGAAGAGTTCAGCGCTCTCTTCCCTCTGTGTACACATGAACTACTAGCGCTATCCACTAGGCCAGGAGCGGAAGCTAGAGAAAAACTCACTTTGCTAGAAAAGCTCGCTTACGCCGGGATTCGACACCCTGACCTGGCCTCTAGAAGGTTTGGAGGATACCAACTAGACCACCGGGGCGACCGGCAATGGTTCTTCATTCATGTGAACCATAACAGTACGGACATACATACGAAGGTAAACTTTACTGGGTAGAGAGAGATCGGAACGGTTTTTAATGTGAAGACAACAACAACAACAACAATAACAACAACAGTCCGCGGCGTCGTTCTTTGTTCTGGCATGGCCTCTCCGTCTTGCGCACTGAAGGCCAGATCGAGTTGAGTGTAGAGTCCACTCGACATGCACGGTGATCTGCTCGACAGATGCATCTACTCCTGCAGGTGCTGTACTCCTGCCGTTAGACCTCGAGATTACGCCGTGAACGACAAAAAAAAACAGCGCGCAGACCACCAACAAAATGTTTTTTTTTTTCACAACCTCGGTGGCCGATTTGGAATTGACTTAAATAAAGAAAACAAACTGCGAGTACGTATTCCTGGCTCCTGGTGGAGAGTTGACTCTTCATATTGCATGAAACCAGTCTGTAGAACATACTTTTATTATTCCTTAATACTCAAGGAAACACCGGACGGATCAGTTTTTTTCCTCCGCAATTTGGTTGCCGCAAACGTACTAAATACACGGTCGCCCCGGTGGTCTATTTGGTAGCCGCCAAACCTTCTAGAGGTCAGGTCAGGGGTTCGAATCCCGGCGTAAGCGAGCTTTTCTTGCAAAGGGAGTTTTTCTCTCGCTTCCGCTCCTGGTCTAGTGGATAGCGCTAGTTCGTGTGTACACAGAGGGAAGAGAGTGCTGAACTCTTCTCGCATTAAAAATCAAAGGCAAAGTACCGCAGGAGGGGAGGGTAGAGAGGGGCTCTTCTGTGTGACCACGGGTTGGAGTAAACGGCACTAGTGCTGTGAGCGCTGATTTGAAGTGAAGACAAAAAAAAAAAAAACGTATGATATTTAGAGTACTTTTCCGCCAATGCTCCATTTTTCCCCCTTGAACCCAAAAATCTGTCTGGCGATTTCCAGCTTTGGTTTGTGCGCCCACAACACCATAAACCGCGCCCCCATCCATGGCGTTGCCGTTGAGGAATAGCTTCTCCCGTTTTGGCTGTCTTGGGCAAGAGTTGAGGGGTGATCACCCAGAAAATCGTACCCGAAAAAAGAGAGCATGATTTTTTTTTCAGTGTGTGATGACTGACACATCTTGAAAATCCGAAAAAAAAAAGGATGCCGAAAATTCACACATACTCGAGCTTTGTTTTACCCGTCTCCCGCCGTCCACAAGAAGCCACAGGCGACCCTGAGCAGATGGCCCGCTAGCCCTGAACACACTGATTCTCGGAAGCTATCAACTTTGCTTGTCCTCGATGAATTGGTCCCGATATGTGCGTGAGCGTGTTTTCGAAAAGCTTGAAGTTGGAGCCTGCGGCCGGTTCTTCAGCCGAATCAGACCCAAATCTCTTGCTTCCACCAAAAAACGTTCACGCACATATCAGGACCAATTCATCGAGGACGAGCAAAGTTGATAGCTTCCGAGAATCAGTGTGTGCAGCACTAGCGGCGCATATGTTCAGGGTCGCCTGTGGTAGCTTGTGGGAGGCGACAGAACGGATAGAAACAGCACCTCGAACTGCCTCTGACGGCACCTGTTTTTTTTCAGTCTATTTTTCCTCCGCTCTCATCTTCGGCATTTGTTCCGACTTTGCTGGAGCTGTAAATGCATACATATGCATGCACTGCTGCTCCAGCTGATGGGCTATTCTATTTAGTTCGCCTGGTCACTTTTTTGGCCAATAATACTTGTAATCTCGAGGCCTTACTGTAGCTAATTCCTCTTGCATCTCGCACACTCTCTGTTTGCGCCAATACGCCTTCAACAACATTCAACCGCAAGCGCAAGCGGCGTGTACGATCAGTTTCACGCTGAGATCATTCTCGTCAACCATCTATCTGTAGTGATGGCCCGCACAAGATTTCCGCAAGATTTTCGCTTCCGACTCCATCCATGACAATCGCGGTGGTCCGCTACAACCGTGTGCTGTGATGTTTCTGGCAGCAAAAAACGGAACGTTTCAGAGCGCGCTTGCGGCCCGCAGGTACTCGAAGGCAACAAATACAACCATTGGACGCACAAAGACGAGTGGGGGGTAGAGGAGGGAGGAGGTGGTGTAGGTTTTCAAGGAAGCTGTTGACGAGCGCACATCAAACACATGTGCTACGTATCGCCTAGAACAGGCGGTGCTCGCCATGCAATCCGCACCCTCGACAGTGCTCTGGAAGGCATGCTTTTTGTTGAGTTGTGGTCCATGGCAGCTTGCCGTCTCTTTGACACTTTATGTTCCCCCATACACGGCTTCACGCGCTTCCGCCGCCGTTTATTCGCATGCGAGACACCTGACAATGGTGGCAATGCCTATACGGCTTGAACCGGTAGCATGCAGCACCTGTGGCAGCCGCATGCCCGAGAGTGATCACACACATCCCACCACGTCCTGAATTGCCACCGAAGAGCCCGTGTTCCACGTCCCCTACGGTCTGTTGGCTAATTTTAACTCTCGTTTAAATTATGGTGCGGCGTAACTACCTCAAACAGGGAACGTGTGTGGCATTTCTTGTTTCCAGGAAAGTTATTTTGTGTGGCTGACCAATCAGGGAATAATTCCGAGTTCCCTCTTCCCTGTTGGATGTCCAGAAAATGGACGTTAGTACACGCCCTAATAAGGGTTGGTCTTAACCACTTTGGTGCTCCCACACTTCACACCCACACCAACAGTTAGAACAGGAAGATCAACAGAACTGTGGGAGTAAAATGGTGGTGGGTCCTAACCGCTTGTAGCAAAACCAATACAGGTAGGTATGCATAGGTTCCGCTGACGCTTTTATGTCATTGATAATATATCGTGGACTCTTCTCTGGGATAGATAGATGGAATCGTTGTGTCATAGACTACTAAATATATGCATATGAAAAAATGACGTTATTAAGGTGAAGACAACAACAACAGTAGAGCTTGAGTTGAGTGGTCGGCATA